AGCATCTTCGCATAGGCAGCTGGCCAACTATTGCAATCTACTTTATCTTCATCCATGCAAATTCTGTTCAGCCCTATTTTGCAGGAATTAAGTAATGGATGATTCCTGTTTCGGAACTCAAAAGGAAAGGAAGTCAAGTATATTTTAAGTTTCAAAACTTTAACACAAAAAAGAAACCAAGCAAGGAAAGTAGCCTTACCTGACGTTATCCTCGAAAGTGTTATTATCAGTGATGCCGTCCAGCACATTTTTTATCTCGTTAATCAGATCAGTGTAGTAGTTTTCGGGATTTTCAATAGCTGGCTTCAGATGTGATAAGCCAAGCATGGTATCTCTTTCAATAGGCTTCAGCCTGCCCATTTTTCCCTCTGCACATGCTCGATCAATGACTGCCTGACGTTCCAGGCGTATCCGTTCTTCCACCTTCAGACAAAATTCCTTGTTTTTTTTTTTGGCTTTAAAATCTTATCTCATGGAATATCAGGATATCAAATTTTAAGATGATTCGGGTGTAAGAATATAAATTCTGGTATAAGTACAATTTTGGTATTTTGGTATATTTTGGTTTTTGGTATAAATTTTGGTATAAAAATATTAAAAAAATATAAGAATATAAATTTTGGAGTAATATTCATTGGGAAACAAAGAAGTATTTATCCGAGCCAAATTTTTCACGTTCCCTTACGTCAAAATGGAGTCATCAAAACTGATTTTACGCTTTTCTTGGATTTGTTTCTGGCCAGGTACTCCCAAAAACTGTTTTTACTAACTTTCGTAATTCTAAATTATAACGATAAATTGACAGACATACGTAATCATAATCATCTTTCTCGTCTAAAAAACCAAAAAATAAAAAAAAATAAGAAACGAAGGCTGGGCGCTAAAAAATGCAAATTCAACTACAGCAATGACGAAAAAAACGTCAGGTATAGCGTGTTACGTTTTAAGAAAAATTACGGCCTAACTCTAAAAATTCCTGAAAATATCAAATTTTACCAAAAAAAAAAACAAAAAATCTCCTTTACCTCGTAATTTTTAATAATTTCTCGATGCTTTCTTTTGA